CCCGCTGCTCATCGCCAGTCGCCGCCGCCCCCCATCGTACCCATGCCCCGCCCTGCCACTTCCGCCCGTTTGGTGCCCGCTTCCGGCGCGCGCTCCTGTGACGCCACCAACCCGCGGTCCAAAGCGCCGCGGTGGCGGGGCGCAGAACCGTGACGTCACCGGCATGCTCGGCTTTTGGCCGGGCCTGTGGTCCGCAAGTGTGGACGCTGCTTGGGAACCCGCCAGGGCCGAGCCGCGGTACTCCAGAAGGAGACAACAGTGAAGGGGATGTGGAGGAGACGCTGGGGAAGAACTTTCCTGGTGGGGCCCATGTTCCTCTGGTGCAGGTATCGAGGATGGTTGGGAATGAGCTGAGGTTCGCACCTCAGAGACCGTGCCTGCTCCATACACTAACCTGTTTTCTAAAGTGGGTCAGTGACTGGACACCGCCAAGACTTCCTCTATTTAAAAAAAAGTGTGTGTGTGTAATATTTACTGTATTCCTTCCAGCGAGAATGAAGTTTGATGGGGGCAAGATAGGAATATCATTTAAAAGTGCCCGTCTGGGTTTGAATCATAATTCACCAATCATTCTGTTTACCCACACCAGAGTTTCTCCTTATTTATTTTTATTTTTCAAAGATTTATTTTTTATTTACTTATGCATACAAGTACCGGGTTGTAGGCCAGAAATGGGGGGATGGGGTGGGGAGGAGGTGAGAGGATTCACTAGAGACAGAGTGGAGAGAACAGGCAGATCTACTGAAAAGCACTGCTGGTGGGGCAGGAGAGGTCTACTGCAATACGTGGGTCATTTCCCTGGCCTCAAACCGGAACTCACGCTGGAGTGACTGGCTTATAGCTTGATAGTGCTGAGAGGCCTAGTTTCCCCGTATTTAAAATTCAGCTATTAATTGATAAATTTGACAACGGATTTATTTAAAATCTTAAATGTTTTCATTTTATATCAAGTTAATATTTAAATTATTGAAATACTTAAACCTTTAATGTCAGTAATACAATGTTGAAAATAGGCAAACGATTTTATTAATTTTTAAAGCATTTGAAAAATATACACACAGAACTGGGGTACAGGCCAGAGGTGCTGGGGTTGAGAGGATTCACCAGAGACAGAATGGGGAACAGAACAGGCAGACTGCTGCGGTCTAGCCAGGAGAGGTCTGCTGTGCCCTGTGGGTCACCCATTGACTGGGGATCAAACCCTCGCTGCAGTGACTGTGATAGCTTCATAGTGCTGTGCTTTAACCTGTTGCGCTGCCAGGGAAGCTCTGAAAATAGGCAAAAGATATTAACATACACTTCCCCATGAAATGATATACACATGCTCAGTGTTAGGCCTCCCTGGTGGCCTAGGTGTTAAGTCACAATGCTGTTGCTCTCATGGGTAAGGCCTGAGTTCAGTCCCCATCCAGGTTGCTAATCCATATATGACACAGGAGACCTGTCTTGCTTGCTGCTCCCCTTAGCAGTATTTTAGTAAATCTTCCTGTTTTGCTCCCTACTTTGTCTTTGGTGAATGCTTTCATCCCCTCTACCTCTGGCCTACACCCCAGTTCTTCCATGTAAAAATAAGAAAAATCTTAAAAAATATATATCTAGATGTATGTGCTCAATATTAGTGGAGAAATGCAAACTGATATTACAATGCAATACCAATAAACATGACTAGAATGGCTAAATTTAGACAGACAACTGTCAAATATTGGTGAGTATGTGAAGAAACAAATTCTCATAGGTTACTAGTTGGAATGTGAATGGTGTAAGCATTTTGAAAAAGAGTTTGGCAGTTCCTTATAAACATTTAAAATACTTACCCCGGGTCCTCCCTGGTAGCACAGTATGTTAAAGTACAGCATTATGAAGCTATCTGCAATCACAGCGGCATGAGTTTGATCCCAGGCCAAGGAGGTGATCCACAGGGCATGTCAGACCTCGCCTGCTGCTCCCCTCAGCAGTGTCTTTCAGTAGATCCACCTGTTCTGCTCCCCATTCTGTCTCTGATGAATCCCCTCACACACACACACCTCCACACCTCTGGACTGTGTATACCAGTTACTGTATGCATAAGTAAATAAATCTTTAAAAAAAAAAAGTACTTACCTTATCAATGGGAGATACATTCCGAAAACTGAACACCTGAAACTGAGTACAGAGCATGTATATATTGCTTATTCCCTATACATATATAAACACATACATAATTACCTATGATAAGATTTAACATAAAATAGGCGCTGTAAAAAATTAACAATAGTAAAATAGAATAATTTTAAATATACTTTAATAAAAATTATGTGAATATGGACTCAGAATTTCTTATTATACATTACTTTTTTGGACTGCAGTTGACCTCTGGTATCTGGAATGGCAGAAACAAATTAGAGATAAGTGGGGACTACTGTACCTGCAATAAAGCTCATCTGCTTCACTTATATTTTTCAGGGTAAGTAAAAGTATGTCCATAGAAAACAATCTATATGTGCACTTCCGTTTAATTATTTAGAAAATGAAACGTGTGGCAGGAAACAAAAAACCTGGATCTGGGAAGAGCAGGGGGTGGGAGAGAGAGATTGGAAAGGGCACAAGGTAATTTTCAGGACGATAGAAACAGGCTGCGTATTGTTTATAGTGGTTTCATAGATATGCCAAGACTTTGAAATTTACACTTTTTTATTTTTAAAGATTTATTTATTTCTTAATACAGAACTAGAGTACAAGACAGAAGTGCAGGGGCAGTGAGAGGCTTCACCAGAGACAGAGTGGGGAGCAGAACAGGCGGATGTACTGAGATACACTGCTGAGGGGAGCAGTGGGCGGGTCAGGAGAGGGGTGCCACGCCTCAGGTTGGGTATCGAACTTGCCCTGAAGCAGGTGTGACTAGCTTGCTGTGCTGGGTCCTGACCGTCCTAACCCATGTGCCACCAGGGCGGGCCTGAAATTTACACTTTTAAAGTGCAGTTTATTGTAGGGAACGGCAAGACCCTTAGCTTTAGTCTTTAGAGTAACTTAGCCTGAAACACACATTGTATCACCATCATTTCAATAACAAAAAAGTGATGAGAGCCTGAAGTTTTCACAGATATACTTTAGGGGATATTGAATTACAGTGTACAGACACTGGCAATCATTTTGCATGTTAACTCAGAAGAATACAATTTTGAGGTTACATTTGGAACAGGGAAGGAAATGGATGGTGGCGCAAGGGGACAGCACTATGAAGCTAGCCGCAGCCACTTCAGTAATGCAGCAGGCTTCTGTTTTGCCCTTGGCTCCCCTCATCAGTGTATTTCAGTGAATCTGTCTGTTCTGCTCCCCACTCTGTCTCTTGTGAATCCTCACACCCCCTGCACCTCTGGCCTGTAACCCAGCTCTTTGTATGCATAAATAAATAAATCTTAAAAAAAGAAAGTGTTTGACTTTCCAAGGAAAGAGATGTGTGCCTAGAGTTACTTTGCCTGGGTCAGAATTTGCGATCTTGGTAGTTCAGTTAATCTCTAAGTCTTAGCTTCCTAAGACTGTTAAATGGGAATAATTGAACCTACCTCTTAAGTCTGTAATAAGAATTAAATGAGATAAAGTACATAACCTGGTACAGATGAAGCACTCCTAAATAATATTCCTCCTGGCTCAAAAATAGGAACCAATCATACAAAATCAGAGTAATAGCTATTAATGAGACACATGGGAGTCCAGGAAAAGACATCGAAGTTTGAGTCTTGAACATTGCAGTCTTGGAGAGGGTTTGGATAGCTCAGATACTTGGAGAAGGAACAAAATGTTAGGTATCACATGCCCTTTGTGAGGGATGTCCATGCAGCTCCTCTTCTATATTGCTAAACAAACTGTTCTCCTGTGTAGGAGACCCCAGCATTTAGTTCACACAAAGAGCTCTATTCCTGATAATTCTTGATAATTGCTTATCAGTTTGGTTTTAATAAGTCAAGTTTATTTAATGAATTAGATCTACTTCTTTGTTTCCTTTGAAATTTCATTCTTGCTTTTAACCTTAGAATTGTCTACACTCATATATTTGATAATTGCATATTTTCCCAGTTAGATTTTTTTCATCTATATAATTATATTTCCATTTTTACATGTTATATTTAGCCCTCTTTTATCAGAAATATATTTTGGTGTAGAGTGTGGAGAATCTAAAAAATTTTCTGCAAATAACCAATTGTCCCAGTGCTATTTATTGATAATCCTTCTAGGACAGACCTCAACAGGTGGAGACAGATGTAGGTTATTTTGGGTAGAGAAAACATGTGTTCCCAGATGACAGAAAGTCTAGTTTGTGTAGAGCCTAGGATCTGTGAAGGGGAATTGGGGAACAACGGAAGTAGTGGTGGTGGTGGTGGAGGTGGCGGCAGCTGAACTGGGGTCCTCAGGATAGGTCTTGACTTGTAGGCAGGAGCTTGGGCTTAACTCAAGGGGGGAGCCCCCTAGATCTGTGTGAACAGGAATGTGGTGCCTTTACTCTGCACTTTGAGGAGGTGAGCCAGGGCAGAGGACCGTAGCAGTAGGCTTGGTTAGGAGGCCACCCTGTTGCAAGCCTAAGCCAGCAGGAACTGAAACTGGTGGGAGGAGAGGGTGGAATCTTTGGGGCAGGAGAAATATCAGGATTTAAAAGATGTAGATATTGACATGAGAGAGACGTGAAGGGTGCTTTGAGAAGGGTGCTGAGCAACTGGAGCCCAAGGCTGTTAGAAAAGACCAGCTCTTGTTGAAGATGACACTGAACACTGAATTGAGACCCACAGAGGTTAGGATAATGCATCTGTTCGGTGCTCCTCCCCCCATGTGATGGCAATAAAAAGTACACAAAAGACTGCATGCTTTGATGCTTTGATGCATTTTTTGAATATCAAATTCTTTCCTTAGATGTTTATTGCTTCTGGGTGGCCTTAAGCACCTGCTGTGACTGCCTTTTGGCAAATCCAGCGCATATGGGTCTAAGGGTTGGCATGTTAAATTTGAGGAGCTGGCTGGATTCAGAGGGGAGTCCGAGCAGCTGTGGGATCCAGACAAACAGACCAGAAGAGGGGCAGCAATAGAGATGAAGGCTTAGGAGCCATCTGCAGCCAGGGAGAATTTGTCAGCTCCAAGGAAGCTATGTCTAGAAGTCAGGGAAAGGAGAACAAGATGGGGAAAGAGAAAGGCCGATGGTCCCGGTTGCAATTCACTGTGTGCTGCACGTGCGCTTCTCACTGTTCTTAGAAGGGTGTTGAGAATCACACAGCTATTCAGGGGTGGAGCAGAGACTGCAGTTCAAGTCTCCAGTTCTAAATCCTGGTGTTGACTGACACTTTTACGGTAGCGGGGAAGTCAAATGTCTCTGCTGAGTAAAATGTGGGAGTGATCAGTGGCTGGAAAGGGGCCATGGACTGGCCCAGAGAGACCTCAGTAGCTCCAAGTTGGGCTCTCACGGTGTGGTCATCAACTAAGGGACCAAGGAGAGGGGTCCTGTCCTTTCCTGCAAGGCAAAGAGATGTCATTTTTCTTGTGAGATCAAGGAGTATGAGCATGAAATGGGGAACTTCTGATGCGGAGGAGAGAGATTGGAGCCATTTAAAACAATGATTTATTTACTTATGAATTGGGGTACAAGCCAGAGGTGTGTTTGTGTGTGTGTGGGGGGGTTTAGTAAAAGCTTCACCAGAGAGAAGAAGAATAGGCAGGTAGAGTGAAATACATTACTGAGGGGAACAGCGGATGAGTCAACAGAGGTCTGCGATGCCATGGGGCCACCTCCCTGGCAGGGGATCCAGGGATTAAACTCTTGCCACAGTGTCTGTGGCCAGCTTTGCAGTGCTGCACTGTAACCCACTGTACCACTAGGGAGGGCCCCCCTTTTTTTTATGGGTGGATGTTTTGTAAATGTATTTTTTGCAATTAAATTTTGTTATTTATATATATGCATATATATATACACACACACACACACATATATGTATATACACACATATATATATGTCATTCTTCATCTTTGTACAATGTATGCTTTCTCCTCAGGGGTAGTTCCTGTGAAATTCCCACCACCAATCACCTCAATCCCTTGTGCTCTTTCCTCCCATTTTGATCCTTGTTTTTCCCCTTCCCCTGCAGAATGTCTGATTTATAATTACCCATTAATTTTATTTTTTTAATTTACTATAATTTTTTTTTCCCCTGATCCCTTATTTGGTTCCCCTACATTCCTCTATAAGCCATTTCTTACTACATCTTTCCTGGCATCAGAGTAAGCCTACAAACCAAGGAGTCTGGGAAGATTCTTGAATAGCTAAGGCCGTGACTAAGGCCAGGGCAGAAGCACGGTGCTTTCTCTGGCCACTGAGCACCGCTCAGTCTCTCGGAGGGAAGCAGCAGATGGGAGCAGCCCTTGTCTAAGCTTCATGAGGAAGAAGGGTGCAGGGCCTGGGAACCGTGTCCGTAGGTGGCCATCCCTGTCCTTGTTCTAGGCCAGCAGTAGGACGGGTTTGGACATACCAGTGTTCCCCTTTATTTTTTTATTTTGTCATTTTTTTCTTAACAGGAGTTAAATTCATAGTACAAATGTTCAAAATAGTGTTCTGTGTCCTCCCTGGTGGTGCAACAGGTTAAAGCACAGCACTATGAAGCTTTCCGCAACCACTGCAGCACGAGTTCGATTCCTGGCAGGGATGTGACCCTCGTGGTATGCAGACCTCACTCTGTCTCTGAATCCTGTCACCCCCCTGTACCTCTGGCATGTACCCCAGTTCTGTATGCATAAATAAATAAATCTTTAAAAAAATAAAATAGTATTCTTTCTCTCTGTGATTATAAAGCTGGGGAGCTCCTGCAGTCAGGATTTCAAAGCATGTCCCCTCAACCCTTTACCCTTCTTGAAACTCCTCAGTAAAATGGTTTGATTTCCTCCCAAAATAATATTCTTCATGTAATTCCCACAAATGTTAATATTAAACCATGTTTGCTTTGTGGTCACTTTTTTTCTATTTTACCTTCCTTTTGAATTATTTGAAAATAAGTTGCAGGCATTATGCCCCTTCATCTTTAAAGACTTTAGTGTATCTGGCCTCCCTGGTGGCACAGTGGTTAAAGACACAGCACTATCAAGCAATATATTGCTGATCATATGGTGCAGCAGATCTTTCCTGTCTCACTGGCTGCTCCCCACAGCAGTGTTATTTCAGTATATCTACCTGTTCTACTCCCCATTCTGGTGAGTCCTCTTACCCCTCAAACCTTTGGCCTACACTGAAGTTCTTGTATACATAAATAAATCTTAAAAAAAAACACATTCGTGGAAAAAAAAACAAAACTTTTGTCTTTCCTAAAACTAGGGCATGCTCTTGTCTTACTAGGGTACTGTTACAGGACACAGAGAGAGGCACACCACTGACGCCCCAAACCTGCCTGTTCTAAGTGGGTTCTGACATCCGCCACATCAAGACAAAACATAAGACTAATGAAAAGGGACTTTAATACAGTGAGTGTATAACACAGAAGACAAAGAATACAATTTCTAAATCAAACACCTAAGTTACCCATCCCCCTCATGGGCAAAAGTCAACCCAAAAGGGATTGGCCCAAAGTAAGGCCTGAAAGCTGACACAAGACTAAAGCACCTTCTGGCCGGGACCCATAGAAAAGGGTCAGAAATGGCCAGAAAAATCTGGGATGAAAAGAGCAAAATCAAAATCAATGTAAACACTGCCATAGTCACCTCCCTACAGGTATCTCACCCACATCTGCCTTAACCAGTCCAGGGCCAAGAAATAAGCACAGTTTCTTCATCACATACTTGCTGCTCCATGTGGCTTCTTCAGGTCCCCTTCTGGCTCTCCATCCTGCTTCCTTCTTTCTTCTGATTCCTTCTCTTTTCTCTTTTTCACCCCTCAGCTGCACCCTATTTCTGGGTGGGGCAGGGAACCTGGAACTTCCCTTTTCCTAGGAACCACCCAGTTACAGTACAATGATCAAAATGAAGAAATTGGTAGATACTATCATTTTACTGGCAGATTGGTTCAGATTTTACTAAGTGCCCTAGTTATATCATTTTTAAAAAGATTTATTTATGCATACAGAACTGGGATACAAGCCAGAGGTACAGGGGCAGTGAGAGAATTCACCAGAGACAGAGTGGGGAGTGTAACAGGTAGATCAATGATGTACTTTGCTGAGGGGAGCAGCAGGCGAGACAGGAGAGGTCTGCTGCGCCATGTGGGTCACCTCCAGAGCCAGGGATTGAACTTGAGCTGAATTGTCTGTGGTTGCGGTTCACGTCTCACTGCTGCACTTTGAAATTTTGTGCCACCAGGGAGGGCCCCCTAAGTACATTATTTATAACAGAAGAAAATCACGGTTGTATCTGGGGGCCTGTGCCCTTCCTCTCCAACCTGTGACCATCCTTTTCTCAGTCTGTGTCTTTCAAGTCACTGATATACCTTATGGGTAAAGCCAATTATTTTGTAGACTTTGGAGACACTTTTTGACTTCAGTCTGGAAACCTTTACCATCCTAACTGACTTGACCCCATACAAGGTACATAATGCTGCCAGGATGCCCAGATCAGTCACTAGTCAAAGCTGGGAAGAAGGTAAAGCTTTAGAGTCAGCAAAGGAGAGTGGTGGGAAAGCCTGAATGTGTGTGACTTCCTTGCCTTTTCTGCCTCTTTCCTATCAGAGGAAACTGGACAGAAGGTAACGAAGTAGGGTGGAAGTTTAGGGGAGAGGGTGTGGAGGGGTGTCAGCCCCATGGACACCGTACTGAAGCTGCAGCTGTGTCTCAGTTGATGCCTCTGGGCCATGGTCAAGCTGGTATGCATTGAAACCTTAAAATTTCCTTGGATTTGGGCCCTCCCTGGTGGCACAGCGGGTTAAAGAAGCTTAAGCCACTTCAGCATGAGTTCGATTCCCGCCTGCCCTGGAGGAGTCCACATGGCATGGCAGACTTCTCCTGACCTGCCCGCTGCTCCCCTCAGCAGTGTACTTCGCCGATTTGCCTGTTCTGCTCCCCGCTCTGTCTCTGATGAATCCTTTCACCCTCCGCGTCTCTTGCCTGTACCCCAGTTCTATATGAATAAATCTTTAAAAAAAATTTCCTTGGATTTGTGTGTCTAGACACAAGTGTATTCTTGAACAATCTAGGGATTCCCTCAACTGGGCTGGGTAGAAGGCCCACACCTACTGTTTATTCTGGGGATTTTTATCTCCTGTGAGCTAGAAAATCAATTACTTATGTTGATATTAGGTTCCAGGGGGCACGGTTTCTTGCCTTGGGACTTAATCTATCAACTCACCTCTTGACCTTAAACATTAAACTCTGTGGGCACTCCATGAAACTGTAAGACTTTTAGACACCCTGTCCAGCCTGTTTGTCCCACATTCATCAACACTCCTATGTGGTTTTCTTAGCCTCTGGAAGATAGTTATGTTCTGGTAATACCGTGGGCCCATGCTTCCAATCTGTTTTAAGGTACATTGCTTCACTCCTTTCCCCCAGTGTGGTATCCACTGCTTTGGGCAGTCAGGAAGGTCACGTGTGCAGACTGCTTGTTCGTATGACTTACACATGAATGCTTCCAAATGGCCTTGTCTGTGCTAAAGCTAGTTGTGGGTGCTGAACTAATGTCTGCTAAAGATTCCATGTTCTGTAATGCCTGAATGTTGAGCTGAAAGCACAAACATGTAAGACCCAAACCAACTGCTGTCATTCTTTGGGATGTGTATTTACTGGACAAAACAAGGAAACCTACAATCGCGACAATCTTTTTGTAACAGAAACTAAAATGAGCCATGTGCACACTGGTTCATGATACCAGACCTTAAGGTGGTGACCAAGGTAGAAATAGGGGCATTTATTTTGGAATAGTGACAGATTTAGGCATAACTAACTCAGATCCATTTTGACATCACCACCATCCCTCTTTATAAATTGAGGTAACATTGACATATAGCACTGTTTATGTTTTAGGAATATAAGATCATACCTCTTCAAATGTATATTGCTATATCATGTTACCACCAATGGGTCAATAACTCTCCACCACAGTTCGCTGTACCCCCCTCTACCCTTTCCTCCATCCACCCTTTCTAGTAACCTCAGTTCTACGTCAGAATCAAAGGTTTGTCTTGGACAAATACAAAAATCTTAAAAAGAACAAGATTCCTAGAAATAGTACAGTGAAAAAGTGTACAGCTGGTTATGTAAATAGATCGGAAGTATCCGTAACTAGGGTCACTAGTATGAACCCGCTTATTTATTTGAACCCACACGGTAGGGTGGGGGGGGACAGCCTCTGTCCCCAAAAGCTCTCTTTGGTGACAGCTGGGTGTGAGCTGTTCCTGCCAGCTGTCCTCAGGGCTCACTTAGAGCCAGCTGTGCCCACAAAGCCCTTAGTCAGGGCTCCTCTACCAGTTGTTGTGGAAAATAAGTTTGTTCTTTCCAAGCATCCCTTGTGGTCTTTCCATGGAGCTGGACAACAGCCATCTGTTCTGGCTTCTCATTTCATCTGGAAAAATCCCAGTATTTTGGCTTTCTCCCACAACACCATCCCCACTTCCTGGGGATTCTGATTCTGCCTCCCCTGCACCTTCCAGAAGGGCTTTCTGACTCAGTCCTGTGGGATTGCATTGCAATCAGAGGTATCAACATGAGTTCATGGTTTCATTACACATCCACATGCATACACACACCCACATGTAGAGATAAATACAGAAAGACACATACACAAAGAGAGACATAGATATAACAGAAATAGTCATAGAAATACACTCACATACAGATATAGAAACAAATACAACTAGACATAGAAATAGACTCAGATACTTTGTACTCATGTAGGTAGATATAGAGAAAAATACAGACACACATGGGAAAATATAGAAATACATGTACATACAGATAAATATAGAAAAAGCCACAGAGAGAAAGATACAGAAATATATACAGACACGTATATCTGGGTCTTTATACACATATATTTGTTAGAAGCAATGATACTCCAGTAGCAATGAGCATACCTGATGTCCAGATTGTAGTATCCCTACTAAAAGGAGCCAGAATGCCTTGGAAAATGGCTGATTTCAGAACTGGAGGCGGAAGAGCACAATCTGAGACTAGAATATCTTGTTAGAATGTAAGTGCTCAGAAAATGAGGGGGTCATGCCAAAAGGATTCCTGCTAGCAAGATACTGCTGGCATCAAATAATGCCCACAGATTATAAGCCACAGAATAAAATAAGAATTCATATACACATGCTGATATAAATAAATGAGAGAAAGAAAAGCCCATCCTTACAGCAGAGAGCCCAGTAATGAAATTGTGGAATGTGAAAAAATCGTATAGCAATTATTGTAGAAATAATCAACTCAATGCAAGCATCATCAGTGAGAGGATATTAAAACCAGTGGGTGCAAATTTGTTGAATTAAAGTCAACTGTTGAAATGTCTGCCCATAAGTACTCTCTAATTATGAAGGGAAAAATAGTAACTAGAGAAACCTTGTAGCCATTGCCTTAACCAAGCAGTCATAGTATGTTTGAATCAGGGTCTTTTGGGAATATGCCTGGAGTCTGAAGATCACAGGCAGGCCCTTGCTTGGTTCTTGTCTTTAGTGAGGAAAGAATTCAGGGTTGAGACCAAAGTCACAGGAAAGCAAGAGATGTATTGACAGGTGTGAAGATGAACAGGAAAGCTCTCTGGAGAGAGGCCCAAGTATGTAGCCACTGAGGTGGTGAGAAGTAGGTGCTTAC